ACTTGTACTAATTTTTATATTAATTATTATAATGTACTAACTGTACTAATTGTACTAATCATTGTACTAATACTGTACTTCCCAACCCTGATATAGATATGCGAAAATTTGTATGGGATAATTTATTTCAGAAATCTAGTGTAGAAAAAGAGTATTGGTGTAAAAATCTCATAGTTAGCAATAGTGATAGGAAAAAAAACAATTAGTATAGAAATTTATAATAGAGCAAAGAAATGATTTGATGCTGAGACTCGCATTCAATGGCCTAGGATCTGTGTACTCCCTCCCTCTTTGATAACATCATACATTTTATTTTCTACCTGTATCATTTTCTGATTAGCTATTTATCTGAAAAGTTAATAAAATTTCGTTAAGTTTGGGCAAAATTTTGTTTGTTACACAGATATAATGCGCACGTGACTTAAACTCTCAATAACCCGTGTGATCTACTGAGTACTGATTTAATTCTTGCTTTTCTTAGCTTACAACTCATAATTTTTTATACAGTAAGTTCTTCCTTTTGACAAACAATACTCAACCAAATAGACTTGTACCTTTCAGCACATGTCAGAAAAGTGGGTACATGAGTATTTTGATCGCAAGTCCTCCAAATGGACTATTATAAGTTTTTTGGATGAGTGTGAAGCACAATAATGCCCTGATAAAATTGGACAATATCTCACCTCTCTTGAGGCCATCGCTAAGAATGAGAGCAGTAAAAGGAGCGAAAAAGCATTACATTTGTATAAGCAATATAAATAGGCAAGTGCAAGATAAATAGATAAGAAATAGTGGCGTGGCAAAGACCTCCAAGATCTCTGTCATTCAAGTCTCTAAATCAAGCCACAAAGCTAGTGCTTAGGCACAGATGACCTCTAAGATTGTCTGATGTTCAAGCTTCTAAGACGACCTAGTACTAGCCTACTGGAACGCAAACAACCTCTAAGATTGTCTGCGTCAAGCCTCTAAGACAATTCAGTGGAATGAAAAAGTTAGATAGAAATTATAAAGTACTAGTCAAGGATACTACTAATTTTTCCAAGTTCTCTTATACTAGGGTTCCCGATCTGATCGCCAGATATCATTAGATTGGCTATCTCAAAAAGCTCAAAAAAGCAAAGAAACTGCTGAAACCTCAATAAACCTACATTACCCAATGTTTCACTAGGAATCGGAACACTAAATGGCAGAATATTCAATGCTGGACCATCTAGCAATATGACACGAAATAAGGCGGTAAGTTTATGATTTTGTCTTCTGATCTGATTGAATTCTAACAAGATAAGTCTGATCATAACCCATGTTCAATATATTTTTTAATATTTAGATAGTTATGAACAGAAAAAAATCAATGAATATTTCTTCCATGATATAATTCCATCACAACCTCATGAAAATGTCAATACGGGTCACGAAAATGAAAAATCCACTCTATCAAGTCCTTCACAAGATGAACAAGAGAATTATATAGGAAATCCTGAATACTTTGATAAACTCATAGATAATGTGGACTTATCTTATATTGGAGGAGAGGAAGAACCTGTACCATCACCCCCAAAGTAAGAAATTTTGTTAGGAAAAATTTGGGACACTTTTATGGTTGATGAAGTTGACATAGCAAAATGTTTTAATTCCCTTCATAAATCCTTACCAAAGACAAGTACCGAGGTTCAGTAAGTATTCCCTTGTATAGATAATTTTCGTAATAAATTCACTAACATCATCTTTCTTCTTGAAGTCCACTATACTGGGGGATTCTTGACTTGACAGGACAACATAAATTGACAAAGAAAATGTTCTCCTCGAAATGGAATGAACTGACTAATGATTTTTGACTTGACGTGGGATGGAAAATGGTCAACCTTGACCAATTCGAATACGATTTTTTTGATAATATGGAGGTAATTACAGTGTTACATGTTTTTAGTCATCATTTTCATTCTATTAATTCCTTGTTCCATGTATTCTTTTTTACTAAACAGGACTTGGAAATCCAGCAAAAATTACCTATACTAAATTCCCATCTTACGATATTAAAGTCATATATTGAACACCTCAAACTACCAATTAACGAGGGAGAACTTATGATTTGTTTCGTTGCCCTGCATTCAGGATGAGCTTAGATCCAAATCAAGAAAAATTTCAAAACCTCTGGTAATTTTTAAAGATTCTGCTTTACGTATCAGGTTAAATTTATTAATCTCATTCATTTTAACATCATATTTGGAAACTTCATGTCCGAGCAACAGCAAGTTGCAAGCCAGGAAAAATGTAGGCAAGAGCAAGATTCTAATGATGAGCGTGCACGTGCTAGACAGAAAACTGATATTATAATAGTTTTACCAATAGGACCAGCTTTAGAAGGCTTCATTTGTGAAGTCTTGGGTGGACTTCCAGCAGGATACCCCAAAAAAATCTGGACAGATAAGCTGAAGTTAATGGTTGAAATGCGAGACATGATAAACAGAGTAATGAAGACTTTTCTTGGGCTCCCCCAGCAGATTATATAAAAGTCATTGTATTCAGGTGCCAAGTAATTGGTAAATATATTTTAAGATACGTAGAAATTTCTGATAGAAGACTGATATTTTTTTTGTTGCAGGCTTACAAATGAATCTTTATGCAATAGATGTCTAGACTTCGGGAATTTATCATTTTGGAATGATTGATGAAGTTTCTTTGCCTGCCTCATCAAAGAGTTGCCTGCGTACGAAGCAGTGCATATAATGTTACGTTCTTTGGAGGTTTGTTATTCATTTATTCACTCACTCCCTTACCGATATATGTATTTACCATACTTATCAGATCAAATTTCTTATAGCACCGATTGAACAAGTTAACGGATTACTGCACGGATCTAAAAGTTAAACATGCAAAGTTGAGACGAAAACGTGATTATATATATCAAGAAGACAATTTGGCTTTTTCAAACAACTCTCTGAACTCATCTCCAAAAAAAAAGAAAATCAGATCCTAATAGATCCTAATGTATAGATTTTTTTTTAAAAATATACTAAAGAAACTGATTTTCCCATTTCTATATTATTTGTTATAGCTACAGCAATTTTTTTACATTACATATGCACGATCAATAAGCATCAGACTAGTATTTTTTATGTATTATATACTGTACAGCAGTATTGGGCAATTGGACAGATTTTGAACAGGTTTTGGACACAATTTCATATGTCCAAAACCTTGTCCAAAATATTTAAAATTAAAAATAAGTCCAAAACCCATCATTGCTGTACAGGAATATATTGAATATGCATTAGAAAAATAAATGTATTAATGTGTTTGGGTGTATATCATTGCGTATATAAGGGCTTTATTTTTAACTGTATGTGGGTGGTGTGGATGTGATATGAATGAACTAATAAAAATGCTATATATGATTTCGTATAAATTACTTTATTTGAGCGGATGTCAATGTGTTTAATAAAAGTGATGTGTGACAATTTGTAACAAATACATAACATACGAAAGGATAGGAATGAACCTTATTCATTCAATTTTAAGGGCGCATTCCAACCTGATCTGATTGCGAAAGGATCATCAATTACCTTAATAAAATCAAAGACCATAAAATTCCGATCTCGCAAGTGTTTGTCAATAATCTTAGACGCTTTTTTGGATTATCTGTATATTGACGCACAATTCTGCATATATATTCGTAACTTTCTGAGCCTCGAAATAAAGCTAAGTGTGAAATATTCTCATGAATAATTTTAGGGGTTTGTGTATACTTCTGGCTCACATATATACTTGATACACCTTAATGTCGGTCACTAATAAAATGTGGAACAATCCGATCCTGAATTTTCTTTGATTCAATACAAAGATCTTCGAAGACTATAACTGTATTTCTATCTGGTAAAAATTTAGTTACGTCTGGAATTGCATCTGCTTTTAACGCACGAAATGTTACATTCTCCCGATATGCTTTTGGACCCTTTGCAAAAATTTCATAGCAGTTTTTCACTAATACCCATTTGGACTCATGGATATGCTTTCCGATTAAGACTAGATCATCATTTTTGACATACCGCTCCCCTTTCTTTTCCTTAAACAAAC